AAAGTATGAGAGAGAGCAGAAGCAATGTAGATGAATGTGTAGTGATTTTAGACGATTTCCTATGTGCCGGATAATGGGCTTGAGTTTATTGATCTGCATGCAATAATTACAAATTTATATATGCAGACAAATGGTTTTACTTTTTTTCGAGTTTATTTTTTAACAAGACCTTTTTTATATATACTCGTATAAATAAACATAAAAAATGAAATCATTCATTTATATTTATTCCATCAGACATTTCATTTTGACAAAAATTTAAATGACACATATAGTGAAAAAAACAGTTCAGTTTAAGTGAAACTTTTTTATTTCACACTATTTACAGGTTTTCACAAAACAACTTGGAGAAGATTGGCGAAAATATGACAAAGACGGCATGGTCCTATCAAAGATATCTACCACAAAGCTTTCTGTTTGCAAAATCCGCAACCTCTGTGGAGAAGAAAATGGAACTAGCAATATTCAGAAGAAAAAAGAATTCCTTTCAGAGCACTGGACAAGTAATCAATGTCGATGTTAGACCTTGCTTGGTATATGCGTTCAAATTAACAAACAACAAAAACATTCCGTCGATGATAAAAAAAATCCACTCAAGAAAAAATATCGATTGTTTGATGCATTGTTTCCAAAAAATATTTTTAAAAAAATTACCAGATAATTGAAATTTATGTATTATAATTATAGTTTTCTTTTTCTTATTCTTTAAACCTTGATTTTTGTCTGTATGTGTGCAAAAATTTAATTTTTTGATTTTTAATTTACATTTATTGTTTCCTTTATGATTTGAAAAGTTTTAATATGAAAGAAATATCATACACATATGATTTCTTTAATTAACATCCTGTCTTTTTAGTAAACGTTTCAAATCTAAGTCAAAACAAAGAAGAGTATGGTATTCAAGTTTTCTTTTAGAAAATACTTTGCAGTGATTCTTATACATTTATACCTTTTTTGGTACTCCTGATATCTGATATTTTTTCCCCTCATATCTAAATTTTGTTTTAAGTCTTATAACACAGGTCAGTTACAGTTTCAAATTAAAGTTTGTAAATGGATACGTTGTTTTGATATTTTTTGTAAATGATTAGAAGTTCTTTATAGTTTCTTGAGTTCAAAAAATGATTATTTGCTTTTTTATATATATCTAAGCTATGGTTTTAAGTTGGGTTTTTTTTCAGTGAATTAGCCCTTAAATATCAAAAACTATCTTTCATTTGTTGATAGATAAAACAATTTCAACTACAAATACTCAAACTTTTTCTGCAATTACTTTTTGGAGAAGAGAGATAAAGATCATTGATAAATATAAAATTGTTTTGTTACACTCCTGATAATAGTAAAATTTAAAATAAAACCCCCAAATTTCAAAGTTCTGTCAACACCAAGTTTAAAAACAAGATGTTCCCTTTTAATGTCACAAACTAACTAAAAGTATTAAATAAACTGTAATTAGAAGTTGAAAGTATATTTTATAGGATACCAGTATATTACTTCGATCATTTGGAAAGCACTGTATGCAATCAAAAGTCATCCAGAAGCATTCTACTCTTCACTTTTTTTATTAATTCATATTTGATAATAGGTAATTCGAACATTTGTGTTGCACTCCTGAAAGAAGTCTTTTAAGAAGAATTGTGAAGCACAAATTACAAAAGAATGTGTTTTGTTGTTTCAGTGAAGTAATCGAATAACTTGAATTTTATATTAATTTTCCAGTGTTTTTTATTCATATTAATTCATCTAAAGAAGAGAAAGATTGCAATGATTAAAACAGTCTATAAAAATATAATTTAATACAAAATTATTCAAATAAATCCTTATTGATCAAAGCATACCTAGAAGCAAGAAAAGGCTTATTTTACTATTGAATCTATCTTTAAAAATTGTTCCATCCCTGACCATAAAATATGAATCTGAAACACAGACAGAAACTTTTATTGACAGAATTATTTGGTAAGATATGTACATTAAAAATTAAGACAATGATTTGTTAAGCTGTATATTTAACTTAACAAATACTTGTTAAAATGTTTTCTGAATAGGCTTGGTTCACTTACTTGTTTTTTTTTTTTTCTTTTTTTTTATAAAGTGGCCTTTGATATTCGTAATAAGAAGCAAATATGAAGTTGTTAGGACTTGTATAAAGCTACGAGGGCTGTTCGGAAATTATTGAGACAATGTGTATATTCTTCTTTCTAATGAACGTTTTTCGGTGAAAATTTGCATATACGTTTGACAAACACTAAGAATTAATAAAAGCAAGAAACATTTTAAAAATATTTTATTTCCTCTTTTCATTGGTATATAAATGTGTCAGTGGTAGGGGTACCCGGCGCAGTCACGAGATCCGATATTGAAAATATGTAACACCAACGTTAAAACTCCCAGTGGACCCATAGTAAGAGAGAAAATAATTCAAATTATGTATATAATTTTTCATTTTTATTTTGACTTCATTTCGTGCAAGTTTTCTTGAATTTCGATCAGAAATACGGTGATCATACAAAAAATTTAGGCGCGATATAGCAATCTGATAATGACGACAAAACGGATTTTGACATCAAAGCGGAGCAGCGAGCATACCTAAAATTTTGTGTAGCGGTATTGAGAACTCTTGTCCAGACTAAACGACCTGCTAAAACAATAACAACGCAATAAAACATGTCTAAGGTTTTATTTTTTTTCATTGGTATATTTTTTTCTTACAAATAATTCAACCAGAGTAAAAACAAAGGCTCCGGCCGACCATCAATTATTACGGACTAAATAACATTGACCCGCGTTGCATAACTCGGTACTGCATGATACTAAGTCAACCTGTATATGACACTTCGTGTATATTTTACACTGGGGTAGCAACAGCACACGTTTTATTTTATTTTTTTAAGGAATCGTTTTAGAATTATAAGAGACAGTTTGAATTTTTGAATGTTATATGCAATGACAGAGAAAGTAGATTAAACGCTTCCCGATCATTTCAAAATAAGAAAATATCGGCAGACCTGACGTTAAAGTGACGTAGCGATGCTGCTCCAGGTCAATAGACATATACTTATTTATAATTTCACCGGAACTTATTTAATTATCCTATAAATAAGAAATTTTGCACAATTCTTTTATTTGTTCTTTATAAAATGTTGACGAATTTTTATGAATTTATCACTGTCCTTTGTGGAGTAAAAGAAATTGTCTCAATAATTTTCGAACAGCCCTCATACTCTTATGTTTCCTGATCTTTACCTAGTTTCTCCTATGAGTTGTTTAGAATACATCTTTAATTTGTATATCATGTTTTCAACAGACACTTGCTAGAAATTGTAATTAATTTACAATTTTTATCTCGGTTTTCTAGACCAATAAATTAAGAGGATATCGTGAACTAATTTCTGATATTCTGAACAAATAGTTTTTAAAGATTCTTTTCACCTAATGTTAATGATACCCATAACAAATGGTTATTTTAGATATGAATATGTTTATTTTTATCTTATTGGTTTTTTTTTATTTCAGCCATATTTCAGCCATATTTTTAAAGACTGTTTTGTTTTTAAATTAAATTAAAAACAGTTAATCGATATTTCTAAAACTGATTTTCTTGACAAGCAGTTATCAAGACTTGTTTCTAATTTGTTTTCTAAATTTTTTTCCCTTGGCTCTCTAACAATCATTAAGAATAATTACCTTTATATTCTATTCTTAGCAATCAATTGTTTTCAGACTTATTTTCTTTGCAAATAACTGATTAAACATATTAACTTAATTGTGAAATTCTTAACAAACAGTTGTTAAGACATTTGTCTTTCAGTTTTCTGAATTGACTTCCCTTTGTATTCTAACAACTGTTTGTTTAGACTTCTTCATGAAGCTATATTTAACAAGCAGTTGTTAGGGTTAAGACTTTTCGTGAAGCTATCTTAGATTCTAAACAAGCAGTTGTTAGGGTTTAGACTTACTCAGGAATCAGGAATCTTTTTTTTTAAAGTTAAGACATTTTTCTTATGTTTCCTGAGTTGCCTAACCTTATTCCTCTAACAACTGGTTGTTAAGAATATTTCTTTAAACTTGTATGTGCTATTCTTCATTCATTTTCATTCATCATCAATTTTTGTCCTGGTCTCTAACAAATTTTAAAAGGATTCCAGGAACCTACTTCTAGCATCCTTAACAAGCAGTTGTTAAGACTTTATTGTTTGTCTTCCTTTGCATTTCTAACAACCAGTTGTTAAGAATATACCTTGTGAAATTCTTTTGGTATTCTTAACAAGCAGTTGTTAAGACTTTATTCTATTTGACTTCCTTTCCATTTCTAACAACCAGTTGTTAAGAATATATCTTGTGAAATTCTTTTGGTATTCTTAACAAGCAGTTGTTAAGGCTTTATTCGGTTTGACTTCCTTTCCATTTCTAACGACCAGTTGTTAAGAATATATCTTGTGAAATTCTTTTTGTATTCTTAACAAGCAGTTGTTAAGACTTTATTCCGTTTGACTTCCTTTCCATTTCTAACAACCAGTTGTTAAGAATATATCTTGTGAAATTCTTTTTGTATTCTTAACAAGCAGTTGTTAAGACTTTATTCTGTTTGACTTCCTATCCATTCCTAACAACCAGTTGTTAAGAATATACCTTGTGAAATTCTTTTGGTATTCTTAACAAGCAGTTGTTAAGACTTTATTCTGTTTGTCTTCCTTTGCTTTTCTAACAACCAGTTGTTAAGAATATATCTTGTGGAATTCTTTGGGTAGTCTTAACAAACAGTTGTTAAAACTCTGTATAAAAGTGTAACAGTTTTACTTAATTTTATTTATCAAGCATTTACTTAAGAATTCCTTCAGCTTATTTTTCGTGTTCTTAACAAACAGTTGTTAAGACATGCCAGATATATAATGGTTTCTTTAACAAGCATTTGGTAAGAATTGGAAAATAAAGTGTTTAAGGTATGCATAGATTTCAGTTGTCTTTTTTGTACTTAACAACCATACAGAGCTTTTGATCAAATGGAATTGATCAAGTTAAAATGGAAGGTGTTCTGTGCCAAAAATATCTATGGAGCTAAAAATGGAGATAATGACACTGAATTGGTGATGAGGTATTACAAAGGCAGGAAGACATTTAATGAACTAAACCGCTGCAAATTTTATCAGATAGAGGTTAATATTGTGGAAAGAAAACTACCTATTTTGAACCTACTCATGAATTTGAAAAGTCTAGGGGAGGCACGTGTTAACGAGTCAGTACTTGATGTTACATCTGACTTCAGGAGGCTTCAGCTATCCCTGGTCCATGAATTTAGCACTACTGCCGGATATGTGCGAGATGGAACCTTTCTGTCGAATGGAGAGTTTATTTTTTCTACCAGAAAAAGTGGTCGTTGGGAAAGTTCCAATGATAAATGTTTTGTGTACAGCAGTAATTGGGAATGTACCAAAGAAATAGAATCATTATCTGCACCTTTTGGAATTTTCCAAAAGGGAAATGAAGTGCTTATAGGATGTACGGGTTCAAAGGTTATTGAAGTGAAGTCACTTTGTACGTACAATAAGATAAAGACAATACGTGTATCAAGAGCAATCTTCGGAATAGCATTTCTGAAATCATATTTCTTTGAAGCATGTGATGACAGAATTGTTAAGGTAGACCTGTCAGGAGTGAAAGTTAGAGATGTTAACACAGGTACAAGTGTTAAACATATCACAGCCACAAACGACCACATTGTCTTCGGTAACAGAAAAACAAACCTGGTGACATGTATGGACAGTATGGGGAGAAACATTTGGTCATACAGCAGCGTCAGTCTGAAATCCCCATGTGGTATTGACAAAGACGCTGATAATAATATTTATGTTGCAGGTAAAGAGAGTGACAATGTCCACGTGCTGTCCTGTCATGGCGAACTTATTCGAATCTTTGAGGATATTCCAAGGCCTGATTTTATGAAAATAGACAAAGGAAGAAAGTTCTGCTGTGTCTCTAGCAACAGAAAATACCTTAGAGTGTTCGAATTCAAATAGTTGTTCTCAAGGATGGACAATTTTTGAACTGCCCAGAAATCCAGCTTATAACTTTTAAATGATTCTAGAGTATACTGTGTTGTAAAATGAAATATCACTTTGATATTCGATATTTCAAGAAGAATACAGCAGAAATGATATTTTTGGCAAAAATATTTTGTATTACCTTCTACTGCAATAACCATGAATAGGAAATGGTGTAAACGATATGTACGTTGATATAACCTCTTGGGACAGATGTAGACAGTTATATGCATGTATATCATTGCAAAATATATATTTTTATTCAGATAGAACAGCGTATATTCAAAGCTTATTCAACATATGATAGATGCATGAAAAGCAGCACCTTGTCATATGGTGAAAAAATGATCAAATAAATTTTTGAACTGCATAAGTCAATTTAAGCATTTGTAAAGAGAATGCTGAAATTTCATCTGTGATTCTGTGAAAGTATGTTGAACACAATAATTGATAAAAGGTTTGGATTTTTCTTACAAATTCTGAAAGCAAATTTAACTACCTTACAGTATACTATGTAGGTATCACAATGAAGTATGAAGATGTTGAACAAAGATTAAATATATTCCCTTACAAATAACGCAAAATAATTGAGAGGAATTAAGAAATTAAACCACAAGAATGTAGCTAGGGAAAGGATGCTCATACGTTTGGAGATATTCCCTGAAAGTGCTTGCAATATCAAAACAAAACAAAAAAAAAAAAAACAAACAAATATCTAAATAAAAAGTAAACTAAATATTTCTGATCAATAAGAATTCTAAAGTCAGTATTTTTATATGTAACGGGTATCTGCTGATTACGGCCAACGTTACGTAATTACATCTGCTGACGGTCACATTACAGCTTAAAATCAAAAAATATTTGTACAGCTACAAAGATCGTGAAAGTTCAACGATATACGGATATTTTTTGATCTGAAATTGATTCCTTTTTTTCGAGACAAACGATAAAACTCTGCCATTCAATTAACTGAAAGATGACTGAAAGTTAACTGAAAGATGACTGAACTGAGAGGCAGAGCTCTGCCATGCAGTTACGAGACATTTCAGGACCATTTAGTTGACTGAAAGGTGCAGTTTTATCCTGTGAAATTTCTTACAAGGAAACCCTGGAGCAAGTTTTGTATGCGCTAAACTATGTAATTTTTTCTTCTTTCTATCAACATCCCCTTCCCCCCCAAAAAATACGTAGTGCTCATTTAAAACAACGCAGTACAGTTAAGGTGCCAAATGGATATATCGGCGAATTTTTAGACAGAAAATACATTCTTTACAAGGATGGGCGATTCTTTTTAGGCCTTTACTATTATCGGACAAATGTAATGTGGCTGAAAACTACATGTTGAGGACGTTTAGATTTCTTATTTAGATTTGTCACGTAATGTGGCAGTCACGCGATTTTAGCAAATATACCTGCAGTATTGAGGTCATCTATAAATTCCAATATTGCAAGGGCATAACCAAGTTAAAAATCTTAGTTTAATTTATAATTATTTTCACCACTCTATGTAGTTTGTGAAAAGTGCTGCGAACCTATATAGATTCTACTATATAATTGCTTACATTTGTTAGACCATATGTTGAATATTTTGCTGGTCAAGTACATTAAGTATAGATATAATTAATTTATTTGCAAGATTTTATCAGGTTCGCAGTACTTTTCAAATATTTTCATACCTCTTGAGTTTATGTGTAAAAGCTTGTCGTAATTCATTGAGGGTATGCCCTTGCAATCTATCGATTTATTACGACCCTTCTATTACCCTTCAATGAATCTGCATACAAATGTACGGCAGTTTCGATTGTCTAGGGAATGTACGGGAAGTATATGAATAAAATCATAAATAGACATCACATCCAAGTTAATGGCCCCTTATATATCTGCAAATAGTATTTTATTTAATTACAAAACACATGTTTCATTGTATAAATATAACTTGATCCGCCTCTCACTGCATACAAACTGCGTCAAATTTTCCGATATGACGTCACATTGACAAGTGCATTGCGATCAGTGAATTGTTTATATATTGCTGTGTGGGATTTAACCAACGACAAAAATACATGCAATAGTAAGTATTGATGTAGTGTAAAGCTATCCAACAGTTTAAAATAGTGTATCATTTCATTTTGTGGTAATTTGAAGAACATGTATTTTTGTGTGATGTCATAGTAAGCATTCCCGTAAAAATTAGGCCCCGCCTCCTTATTGTTGCCTTAACTGTGTTGTGAACGTTAAATAACAGAATAAGCAACAACGCTCGATCGGCTAACTGCAAATTTCAAAAAAGTAGGAATACTAGAAACGTGTTTAAAAACTCTATTAGAATTTTTAGTGAGGCAGATATCATTGAACTTGTTGAGGGGCCCTGACTGTCGGTCGAGGACATTACTGTACAAATGTGAATTCGCACGGCTTATAAAATGTCTTTACGTCTTCAATCCAAGTAGAGTATAAAATACATATATTGACGACACGAATTTCATTGCAAGTTTCATCATCTATCACTTCAAACAAATTAATCTATCGACATTCAGAATTTAAAAAGCAACACTGTACACCATTCATAAAGTTAACAAGACTCTTTCAAAAACTATTCAGAACCGTTCAGGTGTAGAATCGAGCTATTTTGACCTGATTTTGATTTTATCAATGGTAAAGAGTAATGTGCATTTGAATTTTCGGTTCTTATAGGCTCCATTGAAATTTTCCGTATTTGAAAAAAAAAATAATTAAATTATATATTGTTTTGTCAAAACCCTTGTAATTTTACATCTATTTTGTTAAATGAGATATGCAGAAAACGAACAGTTTTCGAGGTCCATTGAAACATTACAAATCAGGAGCAGAGGAAAGACGACCTTTTATAAACATCAGAGGTGGAATCAGGTGCCATGGAAGAGTAAACATCCCCTGTCCATCGGTCACCCCCCACCCCTGTCTGCTCCTTGTCATGATCGGGCAAACTAAAAATCCGTAGACAATTCAGAGTGTAAATAATGGTCAAAGAATTATTATGATAAACGTTAGTCAACATTCGACTTACTGATAGATTTTATTTGCTTACAAGGTCATTGTATCGAGCATTGAACTTGCAAAATGGTGACCTTAAACGAGTCTGTTTTTATCATTGTTCATCAACTTGTTTGTCAGTAGCTTGCCTTGTTTTAGAAATGTTTCGTATGTAGAGCACGCTCTTGTGTATCGAATCAAATGGGAGGCATATACCGCACATGCAGGTGATAAAGGTATATCGCTACATAAGTAAGGGAAGTTGGCGATAGAAAAGTTGAAGTCATCATGTTTATCATTAATTTTTGTTCTTAAGTTACCATTAACGTCCTTTTCTAGTAAGATATCTAATTACAGTAACTCCTGTAAACACGTATTTTATTTCTCCATGCATTTCTCTACAAATTTAAATTAATTTGAAACATATAGGAGTCAATATCTATAATATTTTTAAAAATTGTAAATCTTGATGGCAAGTAGGATTTAAAATGCTTTCAAAATCATAAAAAAAAATCATGTCCATGATAGGAAGATTAATTTTGAAATTTTTCTAAAAATGCATTTTATTTAAAATTGAATACTTACCTGATGCACCTACGAAATGAAGATATAAATATTACAGCTAACAAACGAATAATTCATACTAGTTAATTATTATCAAGTGAAATTCCTCTTTCCTAAAATTGTCGCTCTGATTGTTCTAAATGAAATATATGGAGATAACGAACAGTATTCAAGTTCAAAAGTCTATTAAACAATACAAAATATTACAAAGTTGATATATAATTATATAACACGTTGTGATTTTATTCACACATTGAAATAGACACCTTAAAATTTAAATTCAACATAAACTAATCTTACCAATGGAGCAGAGCAAACACGGACCTCTAAACATCAGAGGTGGGATCAGGTGCCATGGAGGAGTGAGTATCCCCTGCCGACCGGTCACACCCGCCGTGTGCTCCTTGTCATCATCGGGAAATAACGGAAAAATCCGTCGAATTCAGTGTGTAAATAATGGCCTAACAATTTGCATTTATACATTTTTCTTATCATTAAATTGCATGCTTTGTGATTATTATTTAAGGAAGCTCTAAACACTGCACACTGAGGAGTTCTACTTTAGGGTAGTTTTATGCAGTTAGAGTGATCTGCCCTTAGAAGTAAGATAGAAAAATAGTTATTTTCAGTTAATTACACAATTTGTAATAGATTTAAATACTCTTAACATTATATTAGACTAAAAATAAGTAACTGAATTCATTTTTTCCATTAATTTTCCGATGTAAGTAAACAACAGTGATTTCTGTTCACGAATAGTCCATTGTCTTTGAACATTTTTCCTGCAGAAATAAGGCAGGTACCTTACGCTGAAAATGAACTAATTAATCTCAATATGCACACCTTTTATGTGATATATATTTCTCCAAGTCCAAAAAGCACTTTTTGTTAGTGTTTAGAGCTTCCTTAAAAGTAAGATACACAAGGTATGCTTAAATGAAATCAGAAGCATTAAATGCATAAAAATAAAAACATCTCTTGCCTATTGAATGTAAATGTCATGCTCTTTAATTCAAACTAATCATTTTCCTTTGAAAATAATATCATAAGAAATTTTAATTTTAAACATAAAAAATGACACATAATAGCAGGGATCTTTTTTAAATATCATTAAAATACCATCACCAGTCTGAAGTTCCATCGATATGATTTTTCTTTGATACAAACACAATAAATATATTTTTTTCAATATAAAACTGATTTATTTCTTTTCATAAACATGATGTTCAATCCAACCACAACAAACGTTGTCTTGCTTATGAATTTTCCTAAAAGATGGCCCTGAAAGATCATCGAAAACCCGCAGAAGTGCACCATTATTAGACAATACATGAATGTTATTATCTCTCCCTGTAACGTAAATATTGTCATTGTCATATGCGAATTTAAATCTGGGTTCCTGTTCTTGTACGTTCAGACTGTACTACTCTGATGAGTTAACCAGTTACTGTGCATAATGAGAATATTTCTTAGAGTCAAAGTATTAACAATATTGTTTTTTGGTTGAGAATTCTCTGAAAAGATTCCTCGAAGAATCAAAGGTTAACAGTTTGCTAACACATGCAGTGTAGGAATTTCTTTTCCATACTGCACTCCAAATAAGTCCTACCCATTCTTCGGGTTTATCAAATGTTCAAGACACAATCGTCAAATAAAACCCATTAGCGTCACAAAAAAGTAAAATTCTAGTGACAAGCGCAGCATATTTCTTTTTTATGATTCAAAAATGCATCATCTGTGCATGACTGGAAATATAAACAGATATGAAAATAGCTGGACGGACAGAGGTGGATAGGAAACATAAAATAGCTTTGATACAGAGCATGTAAACATATACTCGTACTTGTCTTACCACGAATGCAGATTGATTTTATCCTAGTTGCAAAATAATTTTAGCTTAATCACGATTTCCGAATAATACATTGGTGTACATTTAAAATTTTACTTTATCCCACAGGACGATGAGTAGACATCAATTTTGAACTAGAATGTATTCAAAACAGATATTTTTTTTTAACATATTGTAGAGTATATCTATATAATGATAATTAAATTATAGACTATCTCACATGTAATTTTCCTATATGCATCTTTCTTGTAATGTATGACAAAGTATCTCCTATAAATATATCATATTGAATTGTCTACAGATTTTTCCTCTTACTCGATCATGACAAGATTTTTAAAGCAGGGGGTACTACTCCACGTCTCCTAACCCCACCTCTGTTTTCAGAGGTCATTGTTCTTATTATTGTTCATTTGGTTACATTGATTACTGTTGGTGATATTCACATTTACCAGCGAGAGTAATATACATGTACATACACTCAGATTTAATTTTCAGGCTTGAGAGAGAATGCCAAGTCTTAACTTGACCGACAAACACCATTTTCGTGAGCAAAGGGCACAATTTTTAGACAATTTTTTTTTTGCATTTCAATGCATTTTAATTCCAAGAGAAGTTTTCCATGAATAACAGAAATTCAGAGAAAGGGACTGAACATTTTACAAATTTCAATGAAATCAAATTTAACAAGTTGGTATACTTCCTGACTATATACTATTTGAATTATTATATTATAATTTTTAATAAACATTTTTTAATGTATAAATGACTAAACATGTTGAATCGACGTGGTTTCATCGTGAAAATGTCTGCTGGGATAAGGATAACTTTATATAAAGTATGACCGGGTGCATATACACAATATATTTTTCCAGTGTAAACGTGGGTTAAATAAAAATTTTATTCAACACGTTTGAAAATCAAAAAGATTTAAAACAGTTACTTATATAAATATTTATGCAACAAATACATGCATTTTTTTTTTTTTTTTATAAATTCATGGTTGACTGTTACAACGCACTTTGAAAAATTACACACTTTGAAAATTTTTTCAAAGTGCGTTAGATTTGGGACAAAGTTAACGCACTTTGAAAAAAGAATATTTCTTTTCAAAGTGCTATAATATCGACCATATTAACGCGCTTTGAAAAACAAATGTGCAGGGATAGGTCAATATGGTAGCAAATGCCTATATTATGTCTATCTTTGCAAAAAAAGGAGCTAAGTCCCCCTACTGGCCTAGCCAATGCCCACCCCAGTTCCGACGGCTAATGTAGGTCTGATGACAGTGAACATTAATGGACTTTCAATTTTAAAAGAGCAAAAATTCAATGCACTAAGGACTTCCTTATACTTTTTACTAGATTGAGAATTCTAGTTTTCTTTCTTTCAATTATGACCTTTAAGGCTACATGTACGAGAAGTGCAACAAAATGGGTTCCAAGTTTGTATGATCATTAAAAATAATTTTCCCGCATAATATGATGGTCTCTTTATAGTTATTTGATAAGCATGAAAAAAAAATTGTTTATTCACGCACAATATGATGGCTCTTTTTTCAACATTTATTTTATTAGTATAAAGATGTATGAAAAATTAATTATTTAGGCTCTTTATACATTTTTTTGTATTGTATTTGATTTCGTAAAGCTACTTTGGCCAAAATATAGTTAGTTGGCTATGTTGCTTAGATCAGCGATATGGTCCCTGAGCCTCTCTTTTTTAATATAACAGGGTGCGGTTTTTTTTCTTCAGGAAAGTTTATCTCTATTTTTTCATCTGTTTCATATATATTCTCAAATTAAATTACCAGTTAAGTAAATACAGATATTTGGGTAGGAAAGATGAAGAGTTGGGATGAGGGACCTTCTACCTGTCTTCTCCTCGTTCCCAATGAGGGTAGATCAATTCATCCGGTTTTCGAAAGAAATATAACAAAATAATGCAGACAATTATTAAAATTTCAGTCCAAAATGTTCGTTTAATACATTTTTTTTTCAAAGTGCGTTAAGTGTCTCCATGGTTAAAAATGTTGATGTACACTCTTAAAGGGGGAGGAAATAAGCACCTCCTTCAAATTTACCTGGTCTTAGAACCCCTGTCAGTCACCTGTAATTAAGCCTGAGATGGAATACTTGGATTTGATTGACATTTAGTTTTCTGTCATTGTGTATATCATGTGTACCTTGCCTGAATATCGTACCGACCATCGAATTAACATTCAGGCTTTTGATGTCTACCGCATATGGCAACGTGATAAAGAAGCAATCAAAGCTCTGGGTTTTTTTTTTAAATTCTTAGGAATATGCTATAAATATAATTCTTCCAAATAATTAAATAAATGATAGGAAAAAATCATGCATATATATTAAAAATGTAATTTAAGAAAGGGGAATTTCATTTCACGATTACAATCGATAATTATACAGTTAGTCAAAACATGATAACTTTACGTAAATTCATTTTAATTTAAACAGAATATACCGACCCTCTTTTGAAGTATCATGTAATTAAATATAATAATATATCTTTTTTTTAAAATGATTATGACAACACTGTCATATTCTTCAGTTGAAATTCTATCAAGACAAGTACATGATTGTACTTGTCGCTTTTCTTTGAGACATGGTGAAGATAGTTACGGTATAATAACCTGGAGTTTTAGAAGAGAAATTAGTCGTATTACATTATCTTGCTTTGTTTAATAATATTTGAAATTACGAATTCCGATGGGAAAAAAGTAGGATACAGATGATTCAATTCACGTAGGAATTATCTTTAAAAAAGAATTATTTAGTTTATTATATTTCTATAAAATTTAGTCTCCAAAGTCTTATTTACTTAGAGACTTACCAAATAAGTCTTATTTACTTAGAAACTTATTCATGACTCCCTTTCTCTTTTCGTTTTGCCATAAACGACTTGCATTTCGAATTACTTCCCTTTGCGTCGCCAGCTTATAACAAAATATTTTGGTCCAATACTCATTTTAACGTTTGAAATTAATTAACAAACACACAGTTATATTGAAATTATCCAATCATTAAAACATATTTAATTCTAAAAGAAGGAATTGAACTAGGAATCCGTCCCTAACAAAAATTTAGCATGTTTTATTTAGTAAATTTGACGGTCAACATTTCAATTGACCCACACTACAAAAAACAATGATATTGTTTTACCATGTCTTAGGAAAATGTCGTAGGTAGGTATACACAAGCCAGCGTGGTTCCCTCGGGGCTTCACAGCCGTTTCGATTGAGCTCCACCCCACACTAAACTTACCAGAGGAAAACCGACCGGTTGAAAACCTCGGCCTTTAACGCACATTGAATTTTTTTTTTTCAAAGTGCTTTAATTTTGTCCCAAAGTTAACGCATTTTTTTTTTTAAATGCGTTTTGTCCTAAATTTAACGCACTTTGAAAAATTTTTTCAAAGTGCGTTATTTTTTCAAAGTGCGTTGCCACAGTGCATGTAGAAAAGAAAGATGTTTAGTAATAAAGAGATATTATATACATCCCAAATAAAAAAAAAAAGCTAGGCCCGGCAAATAAAGTGACGGATAATGTACACCAAGTACATTTAATTTTGTCCCGAAAGCAGTCTGTATCGAAAGGTTGCCTCGTTTTCAAAACACGGATATTTAAGCTCGGAGGTCATCTGTTATAATCTATACATATATTATGGCATCAGGAATAACCCTTGATAACTCTACAATGTGTTCAATATGTTTCGAAAAATTCAAGACTCCGCGATATCTACCGTGTACACATTCTTTTTGTCATGAGTGTTTGTCATCTTATATTGTGAGTTCCTGCATAGGTACGGAAGAACATTTAGGGTTTAATTGTCCGTTATGCCGTAAGTATATTCCTTGTTTTGGTGAAGTTGATATGCTGGAAGAGTGGGCGGGTCTTTTTCCTCTTAATGATGTTTTGGAAATGGTATTCGTGAATGTAGACAAAATAAATTGTCAGGCCTGTTTGCGAGAGAGCGAAGAAGAGGATGCAACAGAATATTGTCTCGTTTGTTTGGAGTATTTATGCAAAATGTGTATAAAATATCATAAAAGGGGACTTACGACTCAAAACCACAAATTAATTCCATTGACAGAATTGAAAACAACTAGTATTGTACCAAATGCTGTCAGAGAAAACACATGCCTGAATCACCAAGGCAGAAAGATAGAACTATTCTGCAATGACCATGAAGAACCATGCTGTACAATGTGTGTGAGTATGGAACACAGAGAATGTGGAAGTGTTGACACAGTCGAAAAAACCGCTCAAAACCTAAGGGAATGTTTGAAAGAAAATAATGATATCATCCTTGAAGACATGCAAATTCTGAAAAACAAGCTGGCCGATGCAAAGAATGAACAGGAAATGTTAGTCCTTAAATTACACGACAGATCTGCTAGTTTTTCAGAAAGTGCTGAACAAGAATTTAATGCCGCTATTCACCACTTAGAGTACCTGAAAAATGAACATTTAACAAATATGTCAAAAGTTGTCAAGAAAACTAAAGAGAAGTATGACAAATGCATGAAATCATTCGTTGATGGAATTCAGTGCGCGGATTTTTGTACTGAAAATCTCGAGGAAGCAAAGAACGAAGATGATGACGCCGAATCAGTGATAAAGTATTACAGAGGAAAGAAGATAACTGCTCGACTGAAAAATTTTAAATTTTCACAAATACACATCGAGATTGAAGAAGAAAAGCCTTATATTTTGGAAGAAATCATGGATTTGAAAAGTCTCCAAGAAGCAAATGTTACCGAGTCAGTTATTGACATTATGACTGACTTGAGAAGAGTTCAGCTGAAAATAATCTCTGAATTCAGGATTGATGTTGGATGTGTGCGTGATGGAGCATTTCTAGGAAATGGACAGTTTATTCTTTCAACCAGGAAACCACAAAGAAGTTCCTATGATGATAAATGTTTTGTATATGATAAGTACTGGGAATGTAAAAGTATAATAGGGTCATTATCCCAGCCATTTGGCCTCGCACAAAAGGATAAAGAATTGTTTGTAGGATGCACATTATCAAAATGTATAACAGTGTTATCGCTTACTTTCCTTAACAAGGTAAAGACAATACGGATTGGAAGGGAGATATTTGGAATTGCATATGTACCTGGTTATTTCTATTTGGCATGTGACAACAAAATTATAAAAATTTACGAAAACGGAAGGCATATTAAAGAATATAACACAGGATTTGGAGTAAAATATATAATTTCCTCAGGACGAAATATTGTGTATAGTAATACGAATACAAACGAAGTGACAGCATGGAATAACATGGATTTGACTATATGGACATACAACAGTCCCTTCCTAATATCACCATGTGGACTTGATAGAGACACCGATGGCAACATATATGTTGCGGGAAAGCAAAGCGACAATATCCACGTGCTTTCCAGTGATGGTCAATTGATTCGACTCTTTGAGGATATTCCAAGGCCGGATTTTATGAAAATAAACCAAGACAGAAACATCTGTTGTGTATGTAGCAATCGAAGAAATATAAGAGTGTACGAGTTTAAATAATTGCTTATACTAGTCTTATAAAAACCGTGCAGCGGCATGGACCATTATTTACAAAGCTGTGAAAATATCATATATACTGAGTACATTTACATCATTGTAATATATTAGATCTTTGATGGTAAAGAACAAGGTTCACTTAGGGTCTTCTTTGGCCTGTGAATTTCTGAAAAACTGCAACTGCTTAGTTTTAGTTGTCAATGCATCAAATTTCATTGAGACATTTGGCGATTGCGAATCTACCAAAAATGACGTAATTTTCTGGCTAGTCAATGCATTATGACGTCATGAAATGCGTCATTTTCCTCATATCCTGAACAGTTCTACAAAAACAGCCAATTTTTAAAGCTATTTTTGATATTTGATATAGAGCGCAATCTTTGATCTAAAATATGCAATTAATTACTAATAGAACCGTATCTGAGGATTACAAAACCTGTTTTATTTTTTAGATCAGAGGGTGCGCTCATATTATTTTTCTCCCCTGAAAGTACTTTAATATGCCTGTTTTCCTTAAAATTCAAGAACATTGGGATTCCATAAAGCTTGTTTTCCAAGACCTGGACTTTAAGGGGGAAAATTTTAATAGGAAATGAAAGCACTCAGTCTCTACTTTATCTTGATGTTTAAAATGGTACATAAGGTGTTAGTCAATAAATTGGTATATCTACAGGGCCATTTTATGCATAAAGTGAACCTAGCTCTTTATAATTTGATTTAACAAATATTTTGAGACAATAAGCTATATTATCTAATATTTGAGGTCAATGTACTTTTTGCATTGTTCGAATATTACTGAGAAAATTACTAAAAAAATAATTTTAAGCATTAACACAATAACATTGCTCTTATCAGTGGTTTGACAAACCTACTATGCAACCTTAGCCTTAAACAAATAGATGCGATCATTAAAAAAAATGTTTCTCAATATTTAGAAACTTTTGTATTTTCAATTTGTATAGATGTAAATGATTATTTTCAGATGGAGAAGGGAAAAAGAAGACAACATCTACAGAAAGGCATAATTTATCTACCAAATGAATGTATTTTTACAACCAATAAAATATTTTTAGAAATTCAAAAAAGATTAATAATTTTGTTAGGTACACTTACATGCGTGATATACAAAAGCAAGACATTCATGATGCATTTATATAAATAAATTGTGTTAAAGGAATAAAGCATCTATTATTCACAGCACATTTTTGAATTTGAATCAGCACAGACATATTTTGAGCATTTAATTACAATTATGTTACTTGTATGTGCAAGATATCGACTTTAACAAAAGCTTTTACAAACTATTATTTTTAAATCAAGTATAGAGTATGCGTGTATTAGTAGACTGTTCGAAATATTTGATCTGTTGAATTGAGAAAAACCCTGAAAATATATTTTGTCTACATTATGAGATCTGTTCTAATGCTCCTTACTTTTAAATGTATTGAATACATTTACCTTACCATGTTATGTAGGAATTACAGCAGGAATACATTGAGTTTTACTGATAAATATTATAGTGATGAATGCATGCATGTATATATTACACAGTCACAATATTTTTTACATGTTTGTGCTAGTGCTTTTTATGACAATAATTCTTAAATGGCGTTCGATTCTTTCTATACAATGATTTTTGATAAAATGTCGTCAATTCTCGTTAGTGCAATGAAAAGACATACTATAAAGATATACAACAGATAAAGACGTTCACTAATATCCTTTTTGAAAATTAACTTACGCAGCACAGTTAAGGCTGCAGTAAGGAGGCGGGGCCTAATTTATACGGGCAATGCTTACTATGACATCACACAAAAATAGAAGTTCTTCAAATTACCACAAAATGAAATGATTTTGTATTTTAAACTTATGAATAGCTTTAAACTACATCGATACTAACCAGTGCATGCATTATTGTCGTTGGTTAAATCCCACACAGCAATATATAAACAATTCACTGATCGCAATGCACTTGTCAGTGTGACGTCATATCGGAAAATTTGACGCAGTTTGTTTGCAGTGAGAGGCGGATCAAGTTATATTTATACAATGAAAAATGTATTTTGTAATTAAATAAAATATAAATTGTAGATATATAAGAGGCCATTAACTTGGATGCGATGTCTGTTTTATGATTTTATTCATATACTTCCCCTACATTCCCTAGACAAGCGATACTGTCGTATATTTGTATGCAGATTCATTGAAGGGTAATAGAAGGGTCGTAATAAATCGATATATTGCAAGGGCATACCCTCAATGAATTATGACAAGCTTTTACACATGAACTCAAGAAGTATGAAGATATTTGAAAAGTGCTGCGAACCAGCAAAATATTCAACATACGGTCTAACAAATGTAATTTTAGCAATTAGATAGTAGAATCTATATAGGTTCGCAGCACTTTTCACAAACTACAAAGAGTGTTGAAAATAATTATATGTTAAACTTAGATTTTTAACTTGGTTATGCCCTTGCAATATTAGAATTTATAGATGACCTCAATACTTCAGGTATATTTGCTTAATCACGTGACTGCCACATAACGTGACAAGTCTTAATAAGAAATCTAATCGTCCTCAACATTTAGTTTTCAACCACACTGCATTTGTCCGATAATAGTAAAGTCCTAAAAAGAAATGCCCATTCTTGTAAAGAATGTATTTTCTATCAAAAAAATTTGCCGATATTTCCATTTGGCACCTTAACTGTGCGGCGTAGTTATGTAAAACTATTTTGATTCCCTTTTTAGTTTAATATGAATTGAAATTAAATGCTGATTTAAAAAAGTATATCTTCATTTTACTATTTTTAGTCAGTCCCCCCCCCCCTCTCCATTTTTTTTCTTTTAATTTTGTATTAAATTCATAATTTGCGTTTATGTGTCTGTGTTTTCTTTAACGATTTTTGTTAATATTTCTTATTTATCCCATGTTTACCCCTTTATCCCGTGGATGTGACTCATTGTATAATTTTTATCATAATCCACAGTTAAGTGCAGTTGTGACGTCACAATGGTTGTTGCGTTAGAGTGATGAAGTCAAATAAAGTGGAATCCTATATAAAACAGTTGTAAAACATTGGTTGTGAAGTATTAAACATGGGATAAAAAGAATCTCCCATGATTTATAGTTGGATATGACTTTTATCCAACTCGTTGTGTGATTTTATCCCCTCGCCAAGGCTCGGGGATAAAAAACACACAACTCGTTGGATAAAAATCATATCCAACTACAAATCATGGGAGATCCTATATTTAATTTATCTCTCATATTTATTTTCTTATTTATTGAGTGGACGTTATACCACAAGTATGAACGAACACAAAAAATTATTACTCCAGACTTGTTACGGCAGAGCAACGCCTTGGTTATTGATACATGATATGTACATTTATTTTTATTCCTTTAAAAAATTAAAATTAAAAAAAAAATTATTATTTGTTTAATGTCTCATCTCTACTTCACAACTAAAGTGCTGAGGATAGTGAAGGGAGTATTGAGACTGGATGAACAAGATGAGTAAGTACTAAGTAAGAAAAATAATAATTTCTAATCATAGATTAATGATTGATCCTATTCTTACATTTATAAGCTTAACATATAAATTATAAAAATGCCAATTTTAACCAAAGTTGGTATAAAGTTGCTTTATAAATATATTTTTAATTGTTGAAGCAAATGACAAAGTCCTCATCCAAAATTACAAAATGGAAAAAATATAAAAAAAAAAAAAAAAAAAAAAAAAAAAAAATTGAAAAACAATGCCAATAAAATTTTTGTGACAGAAGATTTGACCAAGTATAGACAATCCATTGTATCTAAAATTATACAAGCAAAAAACGCAAAAATCATCCACAGTTTCTGGACTTATGATGGGAGAATCTTCCTTAAGTTTGAACAATATGGAGACCGATTTGAAGTCACCTCACTGGAGGAACTTGACAATCTGATTAACGGGTAAATTGTACGGTAGACTAAAATTCACATTGCAGTTGTACAGCACTGACCATGACTGTCTAATATTCCTCAAAGCATAAAACAAGTTTTATTATATGTTTATATGCCGTATATATGTTCATGTATTATTACGTAAATACAGCACTATTCACCCACTTGCTCTCCTTAAATTATGTCAACAGGTTATTTCATGGTGATCAGTCGTCCCTTTGTACATATGCCAATTATGACTGATTCACAAGTGTTACCATTCTGGTATATACTTTGTTTTTTGTCTTTTTCTTCACATTTTTTATTTTTGTTGTTTGCTTTTTTTTCATTTCCATGTGTTCACAGTTTTGTATGTCTATTCCAACCAACTTATGATTTTGCTCTCACAAAATATTACTTGCGGCGCAGCAACTTGTTTTTTAAGAAAATCAAATTCCTCTATTTAACCAATGATAGGTAATACTATCGAGCAATATCGAGCCGCTATTGGTAAATATTACTGCAATAGCAGATGTACAACCAAAACAGTATTTTTCCCTCTCTTAAATGTCAAAAATCTATATCTGTATCTAACAAATCTTAGCAAAAAAAAGCTTTAAACAACTACAAATATGCAGTATTTTTCAACAAAACATTTTACATCTACAATTTTGGTTTCAAATTCTTTTTTTCTTACATCTTTTGTCAGGAGACATTGAAATAAATCCAGGTCCTAAAAACGATCAAATACACACACTGGACGTCTTTCATTTAAATATAAGAAGTATACGTCACAAGATTGAAAATATAACAACATTAATCACGGATTTCGATATTTTATGTTTCACTGAAACACATTTGGACTCAAATGTATGTAACAACGATATCGTGATTGAAGGTTATGATACAATTTTTCGTAGAGATAGGAACTCTAATGGGGGAGGCATTATTATCTATGTTTCTTCATGTCTCCGTGCAATTCGTCGTAGTGACCTTGAACCCATATCAATTGAATGTGTTTGGATAGAAATAAGTGAACCTACCTGTAACCTTATACGCTGCGTATATCGTCCA